AATATATTCGGGAGAGTTGGCATTTCTTTTTACATTGACATTAATATTTGTGATCAAAATATCCATATTTTTTAAATGTTAGAAAGGTAATAAGGTATTGCCCAGGATTCCAATAACACTATTGGCTTGAAATTTTGATTTTCAAAGTATTTCACTGAATGTCCTATAAAGGGTTAATAATCTAATTATTCACTTGAAGTTACACAGTTAAATAAAATGTTTTTTTCAAAGCAGCCTCTTAGTTTGATCTGATTCCTTTAAATCAAACTTCTCCTTCAGGTTTTTGGACATCAAACCTTTTATAGATTCATGCCTGATAATCAATTTATTAACTTGGTGTTGTTTAATTCAATTAAATTCAGTTTTTTTATATAGCGCCAATTAACGTCACGCATCACATTTAATCAATAAAGTGAAAAGAATTATGTTTCCATAATAGATAATTTTTATAAATGTCCGTTGAGGTAAAGTCCTTCCAGTTCAGTGGAACGTTAAATCGGCGTATTTGAAAGTTTGACCTCTGAGCTGGTGGAGCGGCGCTGATGCTGCAGGAAATGCAGGTCTGCTCGGCTCTCAGAGCCACGGATCAATAACCGTGTTGTTTGCTGCTTCAATAATCCTGTTAACAGTGATGTCTGCGGAGCGTCAGCCCTAATCTATTACAGCTCTAACTGGATCTCTGAGCCGTGGCCTCAGGATGTTCATGTCTTAGACCTACAGTTGGTTCTGGTACCAATAGACGGTCCATCTGTGATGCAGCTTTTCTTTTCTTTCTGAGCCTCCATCATCACGTCATTCCTGTTGCCCTGCGAAAACATTTGGTCAGTCACACTCATCAAGCGAGATGGGTCATGCTGCAAGTCTGCGAACGTGTGTGTGTGTGTTGGGGGGGTGTTGAAAGCCTTCCAGTTCTCTCTGCCAGCCTACTGACATTTACAGACCAGCCACAACAGTAGACATGAAAGGAAGATGCAGATGGATGAGGAGGCCGATCAATACGCAGCGCTTCATGCTCCAAACTGACATTTAAAACTCTCACAGTTCAGACTCTTAATGTCCAACACCTTCATCCTGAAGGAGGATGACGGTCCCAGACCTTTGGCAGGAGTCAGGAACATCTGCAGCAGATGTTTTCCATTAAGGCCATTTTAATGTTGAATCGACTGATCCAGGTATTCCAAAATGATCCTGCTGTGCGTTTCCTCCTGACTTTCTAAATCTGATGTTGGATTTTCTTGGATCTTTTAAGGTTTTAAAGTTTTACGGAGAACAAAGTCGTTAATTTCTCTGAACGATTCAGACTGAGCGATTCACAGATCTTCAGAGAATCAGTTCACGGCATGCCTAGGTGTCCTCCTTATGTCGCAGCAGCTTATATTCCTGTACAGCTTTAAACAGAAACCATGTTTCTCCTTTCAGACCATGCAGGGCAGCGACTGCATCTTTGAGGCCGTGGAGCAGCAGGATCTGGACACTGTGCAGATTCTCCTCTACCAGTTTACCGCTGAGGAACTGGACCTGAACACACCCAACAGCCAAGGCCTGACTCCCCTCGATATCGCCATCATGACCAACAACACACCCATCGCTAAGCTGCTGCTGAAGGCCGGTGGAAAGGAGAGTCCTCACTGTGAGTAGCCAACCTGCAACTGGTCTCAGATCAGACTCTAGTTGGACCTTCAGCTGGTCT